CTGGGGACTAGGGAGAGGAGGCAGAGTAGGGAGTGACTGCTAATGGATATGGGTTTCTTAGAATAATGAAATGTTCTGACATAATGGATGGCTGTACAGGGTTGTGAGTATAGTACAAACCACTGAATGGGATACTTTAAAAGGGCGAATTTTATGGTATGTGAATTACCTCTCGATAAAAATTGGAAAAAAGTAAAAGAAGAATCAGTAAACCAAGAGGTTATAAATAATTTGATTATGCTTAGAAAAATCTGTTTGTCATGGTTCTAGTCCCTTTATCTGTAAAAGATCTATTTTATTATCTTTTTCTTTCTCTGAAACACTTTCAGTAAATTACTAAAGAATTTCAGAACATACCTTTTAAATTGACTAGTCCATTACACAGAGAGAAAGCCCAAGTCCAGAGGGTTTAAGCCACAGTCCCAAGACCTCAGAGCTGGGCAGTGGCACAGTCAGACTTTGATCCTGGGAATTATGTAGCCATTGACATCATCCAGGGCTCCTGCTCCCTGACACTGGGAACATTCTACATGAATTAAAACCTGTTAAATGTCTGAAAAAGAAAAACCGCTATAAGAAAATGAAACTGTATGGTATAAAAACGAACATTACACAACCTCACATTTTAGGTTTTTTCTTTTAATAGTAGTGAGTTGTGTGCAGAGGAGTTAAGTGTTTTATAGATGAGAAAAAACAGCTAGAACCACCTTGTTCTTCGTCATTAGCACCATCATCATTTTTGTCTTTATCTTCCTCCTCATCTCCTCATCCTTCTGCCTTCCCCCTCTTGTTTTTTTTTTGTTTTTTTTCCTGCCTTTTCCAGTCTTGCCCACCGCTTTTCACTGCATCAGGCTGCATATTCTTTAATTATGTCTTCATGTGATAATGATTTCGTAATATTTTCTATACAGAGAATTGACAGATAATTCAAATAATTCAATCTTTCCTTCAACATAGTTGATTAAAACTTGTTTTGTATCCTTGATAATTTCAGGAAGCTTCTTTCAGACTCAACACTCTATTGGAAATGTCATGGCCAATTTTAGGATTGGTGTCAAATTTGCAGAAAACTCCATCAAGTTTCTTTCATCTGTGGACTTTAACAGTTCAAGGTATTTTGAGTTTTCTTGTGTGGCAATTAATTTTAAATGTTTTTAAACCGACAGTGTTCATTAAAAAGTTTGTGGATGCTGAGGTCTTGTTATAGTGGCATGTTAGGAATTTTATGCTGTCTTTGTTGATGTTAGTATTTTGTGTTAAATTAGCAAAAACTTTAAATCTTTTCCTAATGTGTTCATTTAATTTGCCCTTCTTCATTGATTGGATTATCAAACAATGTGAGAATTTTTTTTCAATAATTCCATTCAAAAGTTAATAAACTTTCTTTTAATAAACTGCTTTCTGCTATGATCTAAACATATTTTGAGGGTACTATTCTCACTGTAAGAAATCATTTTAATTTATTTCATTGTTCATCATTATTGCTTCCGTTTTATACTCTATTTATTTAAGATATATTCCACTAAACCTGGACAAAATGTATACCTTTGGATAGGACACCAACATACCCATAAATGTCACCCAACACAAGGAGGAAGTCAGAATAGAGACAATGGTCATAACCAATTTGCTAAAATAATTTACTTTGGCAAATTAAAAAAGAAACTAGACCATGTAAAGGTATTTCTAGGGCTTTTCTCAGGGTCTTAGAAGGGGCTCATGCAAGGGGGAGGACCTGAGGCTTAAAATTCAAGGCGCATCCACCTCTGGGAGTGTGTCGTAGGTACCTATGTTCTATTGTATGAGCATCCATACCCATATGTCCCCATGGAGAGCATGGCCCAATGTTTCCTCAGACCCAGCCCAGGGGAACGTGGCCTCAAGAGCAAGGGACTTTTCATAGACACTGCAGATGGGGTTGGGCTTAGCTAGATGTGCTCCCTCCTCCTGGAGGACTGAGATAAGGGTCATGCCAGGAGAAGACCTCAAATCCCATCATCCATGGGGTGATCCAGTCTCCAGCTGCTCACATCCCTCTGACTTTCTTCACTTCCGCTTTCCTAAATTCCTCTATAGAGGCCACAGAGCAAGACAGCTAAGGGTATAGTCTCTAGAGCCTCTCTGCTTGGGTTCAAATCCTGCCTCATGACCTAAGCTGGTCCAATTAGAGGCTTTTTCCTGGGAATTTTCTAATTTGAGTTTAATGTTGAAATATAAGGTAATTCTGAGTTGCTGGAGAAAACCAATATGGAATAGGAGTAGAGGCAAGAGGGAATACGTGGACGAGTAAGAAAGGCTCCAGTCCCAGCTTTCCGGGCCCATGGACGCTGGGGTGCACATATTGCTCATCCACATGTGAGCTGCCCCATGTCCTTCCAGCATGCCTCATTGTGGAGTTTAAGTTAGTTTGAGTGGGGTTTCTGTCACTTGTAACTGGAAGTATCCTGAACTAAATACTTGCTTCTTCTCCTGACGTCTCCATCTCTGCAATGGCACCACCGCCCACTCAGAAGCAAACCAGAGCTTCATCCTTGGCTCTTTTTCTTTACTTCCTTAAGGCCTCTGTATACAAGGCATTGTAAACAGTTATGCAAGTTTGTTCACTGCTCAAATGAACCTGGCTGGAGAGGTGACTGGAGGCTGAGTCCAGCCTGCTCTTTCTTGCCCAGCCATGACCTAGTGCTGAGCATGAACCCCTCAAGAAGGGACACCTTTTTCTAATTGCATACTCCCTCCCTATAGGCTACTGGCCCTCTTCGTATATGTGATTGGTCCTCCCAGTGCAGAAACTCTGCCTCCTCTCTTCACCTGGTTGCCTTCCCACACCCTGTTATCAGCTCTCATTGCACCCTTTACTTTTCCTTATAGCACCTCTCACTATTTATAGCATTGCATTTATTCACTTGGTACTTTGTCTAATGGCTGTTTCTCTAGTGGATTTTAAGCTGTGTGAGGGTAAGGACTGTGCCTTCAAGGTTACCCACTGTACCATCAACACCTACACTTTATCTGGTATAAATGTCTCTCTACTCCTATGCCTTCTCTCCCATCCCCAGTCACTGCCCCAGTTCAGGCCATGTTATGTCTCCTCTGAGCAATCCTGGTGGCTTCCTGACAGTCTCCCATCCTATCCATCTGCCAGCCCAGACTGGCCTTTCTAAATTATAGATTTATTTATATCCTTCCCCTGTTTAGAGTCCTCTATGGTTCCCTGTTGCCTTCAGGATAAAGCACAAATGAGGTTTATTGTAGCCTTGTGTCTGCTTTTTCTCACTTCACCTCTGGCCCCACCCTGCAAACATTTTTGGTTCCATGAAGGCACAATTTGCTTCCTGTCACCTCTGGGTCTTTGCACTTGCTGTTTCTTCAGCTTGGAGCACCCTTATTCGGCTCCTCTTTCCTGACCAACTCTTTCAAGATTCTTATTAGGGGTTACCTGCTTGTCTATACCTTCTATTCCTACTATGTTCCTCTGCCACATACACCCCCCTTACAACACCTAATTCGTCATGATGTAACCAGCTGCTCTAAGATCCAGTCTCCCCAAATGTCTGCATGCTTCCCCAACTACTGGAACTGTGTCCACTGGTCCCTGTTTTCACCCAGCATAGGACCTGGCATTTGTTGAATGAATGAATTCATGAAAGCCCCGAGAGGTCTCAAAGGAGTGTAAAGAACCCTAAGGCGCATCTGTGGAAGCAGCCAGAAGAAAAGCTGAAGATCATTAGTAACAGAGCAGCTCTGGTGGCTCCTCAGGGACCCTGTGTTGAGGAGAATAGAGGCTCTCCTCAGAGCAGAAAGCAGATCCTCAGACATGTAATGAGGTTCTTCTTTCTGGCATCACATCTAGCCTGTGTTTCTCAGGGCCCCCCACTTGAGCAGAGCTCTGGAAAGTGGGCTTGCAAGGTTTTCAGGGGGGAAAAGTCTGTAAGCGTAGGATGTAGGAAGCACTGATGGCCTGGTGGCAAGTGTATGTGTGATGAGGGGTGGAGCTGGTGTGGTATGTGAATGGGGAAGAACTGTTGTTGCCAGGCCATCCTTTCAGGGGAGGATGAAGGTGCCTCTGGGAGGGCAGAAGTGCCTGTGTGTGTGTGGTCTCTCCCCTGGGTGTATGTGTGAGTCTGTGTTGTTTTCTCTTGTTTCTGAAGACATAGCTCAAATGACACCTCTTCCAGGAAGCCTTCTGCAGCACCCTCGCTAAATCAATCCCCCCTCTTTTGCTCTCAGAGTGTTTATGTCTTGATAAGACCATTTATGCCACCTGTGATGATGCCAGTTTGCATGTGCCCCTCTCCTTACAGGCTCTGTGTTCCTGTCTTATCAGATATGACAGGGCCCAGACGGTCTAAGTGCTGGGTTACTGCTAAGTAGAAGTGTCTGTGCCTGTCTGGTTTTCAGTGTTGTCCCCTTGTAGTTACACCTATCACTAAGAGCCTGTAAGTACCACACAGCTTACCATGCCCCTTCACATACATTTAGTACTTCCTCATAATGCTGTGAGCACCTTATCACTTCCTCTATAGCCATGAGGATTCTGAGTGGCCCCTGAAGCCATGACTTCCCAACGATCCTTCTGTACACCATACCTAAGTATACTGTGTGTATGGAGGGGTGTGATTCACAACCTTCCATGCACTTCAGAATCACCTGGGGAGCTTCGAAACATACCAATACCTGGCCTGGGGTCTCTGGGGCATATACATTAAAGCAGAACCTCTGGGACTTGGGGCCAGGCATGAGTCTTTTTAAAAACTACTCAGATCATTTTAATATGCATCCTGAGATGAGAACCACTGACCTGTGTGTGGTGTTGCTTCTCACGGTCATAGGAACCTCCCACGTATTGGAGACACGCGCCCTCCTCCCTTCCCCGAGCCCCAGGCTTCCTCCTTGCAACCCGCCTGCCCTCTACAGGGCTAGTTACCGTACAGCTGGCTCATCTTGCAGATTTTCCCTCCAGTCAAAATTCTGTCCCCGTCCCTAGGGAAAGCCAGAGCCGCCACGGTATAAATTAGCTTTTTATTTCGAACAGCTGAGCGAGCGCCCGTGGCTCGCCCTCCTGCAGTATAAACATACAAAGTCCCTGTCGCACCGCACACCATGCCTTAGAGATAAATACAGCCCTAGGGGCTCCTGCTCTGGCAAAGCAACTCTTATTTACAAGAATAGATTACAAAAGTATTACAAAAAGTGGTCCTGAACACGAGGAGGGGGTGGGAGTGGTTACCGTAACTTGTTACACTTGGGACCGGAGCGCACCCCGCTGGCGGTGGGAAAGAGAGGATGTTTCAAGTGCTAGGGAAAGGAGAGGCCACGCCCCCATAAGCAACCTCCGCGTCCCGGAACCTAGCTTAGGTCTGCACGGGTCCCACCCACCATCGGGGAAAGCTGCGAGAAAGAGGAAGGGCCTGACTCCCCGAGGGTCAGCTCTAGCCCACGGAGGAGTGCATAACGGCCATCGCAGCGGGTCTCAGGGAAGGGTGCTGCGTGGAAAAAAAGGACCGTGTCTTTGCCCTGGGGTGCAGGAGGCAGAAACACGTCAGTCTGCCTCTCCTCCCTTGGGAAGGGTGGCTTTTAAAGCGCGGTTGGGGATGGAGGTTGGCGCTTAAGCTCAATCTTTTGGGCTCATGGGACCCTAGGGGCACCATCCCTCGGACGATGCACAATGGCGTCCTCGGCCGCGGCCGCCCTCACCCTCAGAGCACCTGGTAGATGGGGTTGGGATTGGCGCCCGCGGGACACTGCTGGGTAGCGTCGGAGGTTGGTGTGGGGGCGCTGCGATCTTCCTCGCTCGGGGCGGCCGCCTCGTGCGGGCCGGGAGACGACTCAGGCTGCGCGTCCGCCAG